TGTCATAGGCAATAATAAAGAACAAATTTTTTTCTAACATGTGTTGCTGTTATCTGGCATAGTTTGATTATTCTCTGGCTGGGGCAGTGTCCTGGGTCAGGTGGCTATGTGTATGAAAAGGCAGACGAAAGATGGCTAATGATTGCATCATCTGGGGAAAATGACTCTGATCCTTTTACTGAATAGCATAGATCTCAGAGATAGAAGAGTGGCCCCGCCACACAGGTGTTTACGGTTAGTACAGTGATCTCTTTCATGATTAAAATGTAGCCTAATGAATATTCAGCTTTGGCCTGTCTGGTGAGCTATTCCTCCTTTTGGGAGGGTCAAGTAAAAGAATGCAAGGGAACATCAACTCTATTCTCTTTTTCCCCAGTCTATCATAACTGCTTATCCTCACCTTTGTTAGAAAATGGAAGTAGCCTCCTCTGCGGGCTAAAGTTGATGTGTGAAGAGATTGGGGGCATACACATTCCTCCTTTACTTAAACATGCTTGGCATTTTTTTAAGTTACTAAAATTAAGTTTATTAATATTGCCGTCAGGGTAGAGGTGAGCCAGAGATTCCCATTTTTACCGGGAAAGCTAGTGAATGTATTTTCCTTGGCTTGCTCTCGTGTTCTCTAAGTGTACCTCTGCGTTGGTGACTTTATTTGGCACTCTGACTCTCGGAAGTACAGTGTTACTCTTAGAGATTCTTTCTTGCATCTGACAGTTGCCATTGTACTTGCTACTGGAGGAGACAGAGATGAATGTCCTTAAGAGCTTTGCAGCAGTTCATTTCCCTTACACTGTTTCAGGAGCTTTTAGTGACCAGAGCTGCCAGGTGAGCCTCAGTCTTTTTCTGATTGCCAGGTTTGGTGCCACAAGGCTGAAGAGCATAAAGCACATCACTTCTTAGTTCCATCTTTGTTTCTCTCCTTCTTCAATTCTTTCTTGCATTTTAACCTCTTTGTCTGTTTTTAAACAAGGACTTGGAATGATTCAGTTACCTGTTTTAAGCTTTGTCCTCAATCTTATTCATACCATTGTAAATCTGGGAGTTGATGGTTTTCAAGTTTTAATTGACTAGCCCTATTAGGGCTAAGGTGAAAAGTGGCAGCGTGATCCCATGATCTGTCAGTATGAAAGTAACGGATCTATTTACATTCAGTGTTTGTCACATTTTCCCTCTGTTAGGAACTTTTGTAAGGAAATGACATTCTTGCTTGTTTCATGAGGAGCAAAGGGCGATATTTTCAGAAATAGCTATATGGTCCCCAAGAGGAAACATTCTTTTGCCATGAAATATACTTACTAGACATTTTGGAAAAATTGCAACCTAAATAAGAAAGATGTAACTGTAATGTGTTTGGGGTTAAAAATTATCTCAAAACATTTTAGCTAGTATTTTTGAGAACAGAGTTTCTTTTATTAGAAATTAGAGGCTTTCAATGGAGTAAAATGTATAATAGTCCAGAGTGATGCATACTGGTTAAAAGCAGATGATGAACTCAAACTAATGATGGAAGTAATTCTAGTTTCAATAGTAAATATCATAATTCTTGTTTTTCATTTAATGTAGTTGGGGCAGGATTTGAATGGAAGCCCACTTGTAATTGATAAATTAAAATGTAATTGAAATGAAAACAAGTTCAAATTATCAAAAGGATTATTTTCTAATTATAATATATATACAGCCATAATTTCCTAACCATAATTAAGCAAGAAGTGTTTACACATTTGGTAATGTTTGTTTCACAGTGTATATTTCTATGAGTACCATGATTAATGCTCATTTTTAAAGCATACTAAAATTACAGGTTTATTATACATTTTTAGCAAATAAATTTATTTAGTTTTTCTTTTAAATAGTAAAAACGTAGTTTGTAGGGAAGCTTTTTTCACTTTTTTTTTAACTATTTGAAAACTGTTATTTAGTCTATGCACTTTACCCTTTTTTGCTAATAACTTTTTAAAAATAAAAATAACTTGTTCTTTCTTATGCTTTAAAATGTTTGTCATCTGGTGTATGCCAGATTTATTGGACTGCAGTAGTTTTAGTGCGTTTTGGCTGGAATGTTTATTATGACATCATTGTAATCTATATACAGTATGTGATTTCAGATGGTTTCAGTGTTAAATATTTTCATAATTATGCTAGTTTTGGCAGTTCACTTGGAACTTTTTCACATCTCTTTAATGAACATGTTTTACTTCTGGGCTTTTGAGACAACCATATGTTTGAAAAATTAATAGTGTGCTTTTAATGTTAACGTTGTGCAGAAGTGTATGACTACAGACATTTTTAAGGATGCAAGTTGAACTAAAAATAATTACAGTCAGGTTTTATTCACAATAGTAGTCTTTTTCGTATTTAGAGACTATAACATCCCCCCGAATAACAGAATATGTCATTATAAAGATTGAATAGTGAAATTGTTTTGTGGAATGAAACACTGTGAAGTTTGTTTTGCATTAACTTAAAATGTACATAAGTTCATGTGAAAATTTTCTTTGTTTACAATAGCAAATTTTTACTTCTTTCTTGTAATGCAGTTTCAAACAGAATTTTTTTCTTATGCTAATATGTCATTTGCATCTGAAGCCATGCTATCTTGTGAAAGATCATCTTATATTATTGTATAATTCTCTTAGTGTGGTATTGAATAAGAATTTTTGTTTTCTAAAGGAGGTCTTATCATTTTATTTGCCTCTAATACCCTATTAGATTGGTAAGTTTAGTGGTTATCCTTCTTTTTATTTGTTCTTGAAATTTTCTCTTAAAATATATGAAATAGAAAAACTAAGTTTATCACCATCCTTGTAAATATTATAAAATAGTTTTATTATTGATTAATGAATTGATGGTTCACAGTACACCATCAATTACCCTTTGTGTTGGTATCTTTGATCTCTCCCTCCTCAGATGCATCCCTCCTTCAAATAAAATGCGCTCTTTTATCCCCCAGAATGGAATAAGAAGATGCCAGATACCTCATATTTCTACCCCATCTATTTCCTGCTTGTAATACCTCTCTTCTTGAAAGAGCAATCTATGCTTATCTATTTTAACTTCTCATTCACTCTTTGAGCTACTCGTTTATTGCTCCTACTCCTGTCCTCTACTGGAACTACTAAATCTCCTTATAGGTTATTGACACCCTCCTGCTAATTACCAAATCTTGAAACATGTCAACTAGAATGAAGACTGAGAACATCTCTATAGTTCTTAACATTACTCCGTTTTGTTGAACTGGTCCATACTTTTAACTTCTGGTATTGTTCTTCCAGCTTAAACATTGTATACTCTGGCTTTATTTGACTAATCATCGCTCCTTGTATGTGCTACATACATTTATACTGTTTTGCTTTTGTTTATAGTTTTCTCCCAATTTAGCCTACAATTTTAACGTAAAACATTTCTACACTCAATTTTAAGGGCCTTATCTCTCTAGTTCTTCCAAATAGAATGACTCTTTGTGTTTCTATTACTTAAAAACAAACAAAAGAAGTCCTCTTGTAGAACTAGTTGTATATGTTTTTAAAGATTTTATTTATTTATTTTTTCCCCCCAAAGCCCCAGTAGATAGCCGTGTGTCATAGCTGTACATCCTTCTAGTTGCTGCATGTGGGACGCGGCCTCAGCATGGCCGGAGAAGCAGCGCGTCAGTGCGAGCCCGGGATCCGAACCCGGGTCGCCAGCAGTGGAGCGCGCCCACCCAACCACCAAGCCACGGGGCCGGCCCATATATGTTTTTAATAGATTATGAAATCCTTGAGGACAAGTATTACATCTTATTTGCCTTTGTGAATCCAGCAATTAGCACATAAGAGCATTATATAAACGTTTGTTGAATCAAGGCAGGAAAAGAATACTCACATTGTATAAATTCGGGAATAAATTTCAAAAATGTGGATGACTTGTTGAAGTTTCTATGTTATCCATGTCAAAACCCAATTAAACCTTATCTAATCTGAATAATAAATTCAGTAAACATTGTTAAATAGGATGCAAAGGATTCTAAGGATGATTGAGATTAGTTGTTAAAGATGATTAAGGGGCCAGCCTGGCGGCGTAGCGGTTAAGTGCGCATGCTCCGCTGCGGTCCCGGAGTTCGGATCCTGGGCATGCACCAACACACCGCTTGTCAAGCCATGCTGTGACGGCATCCCATATAAAATGGAGGAAGATGGGCATGGATGTTAGCCCAGGGCCAATCTTCGTCAGCAAAAAGAGGAGGATTGGTGACAGATGTTAGCTCAGGGCTAATCTTCCTCACACACACAAAAAAAACAGAGAGAAAAAAATAAAGATGATTAAGAAGACAGCTCAGATTCTTAATTTAACTCATAAAGTAGTGAGAGTCTTAATGTATAAACAACAAATAGGGGGAAATTAAGACCCTTTCCATTTATTTTGCACTCAGATAGAGATGGGAAGTGTTTAACAGCTTCTATTGTATAGTCTTCTTTTGCTAAGGCCATATATAAGAATTTTTTTGACATTATTAAGTGGTTTATTTTGATACCAACTAAAGAAAGGAAGAATTTGTGGTTTTAAACTACTAGTTATTTTTATTTTCATTTTTTTTGTGAGGAAGATTGGCCCTGAGCTAACATCTGTTGCCAGTCTTCTTTTTCTTGAGGAAGACTGTCTCTGAGCTTACATCTGTGCCAGTCTTCCTCTATTTCGTATGTGGGATGCCACCACAGCGTGGCTTGATGAGCGGTGTGTTAGGTCTGTGCCTGGGATCCAAACCTGCAAACCCTGGACTGCCAAGCGTGGGAACTTAACCACTACGCCACTGGGCCGGCCCCTACTACTAGTTATTTTTAAAATGCTGTTTGAGAATGCAAGTTATGAAAATTGTGTGGTTATATAGATTTTTAGAGGTAAAAAAATTAGAAGAGTCTATCTAATCACATTTAGTAACCATAAACTGCATATATTTAAGAAAACTTTTCCTATCCTTGAATGGTGATTGATGCTTTTCTTTTCTTTCTTTAAAATAAAAATAGGATGACCATGAAAGCTGTGGTTCTAATTCTACCAACCGTAGTGCTACTGAGAACACAAAATCATCAGTAAAACCCCGAAGAATTCAGCAGGCTGCTCCCACAGATCCTGCTTTACCCCCAGGTAACTTCTAATGGGATTGATAAAGCCAGAATTTCAGTTGTTATTAATCGTTAGTTTATAGCCTTTTATAGAATATACACTTTGAGTATTCCATAGTGTCGTAAAATACTTAGACTATATGTGCGTGGACATTTGCTGCATGACGTCAGAACAGATCAAGTCCAGAGGCCTCACAAATGTCTCGTTCTAATTTTGATGCTCTTTTGCAGCAGGTGTTTCTTAAGTTTCTTTCTTTTTTTTTGAGGAAGATCAGTCCTGAGCTAACATCCATGCTAATCCTGCTCTTTTTGCTGAGGAAGACCAGCCCTGAGCTAACATCTATTGCCAATCCTCCTCCTTTTTTTTTTTTGTTCCCTTTTTCTCCCCAAAGCCCCAGTAGATAGTTGTATGTCATAGTTGCACATCCTTCTAGTTGCTGTATATGGGACGCCGCCTCAGCATGGCTGGACCAGTGGTGCATTGGTGCATGCCTGGGATCTGAACCCAGGCCACCAGTAACAGAGCGTGTGTACTTAACTGCTAAGCCATGGGGCCGGACCCCCTTAAGTTTCTTTCTTGAATCCTCTCCAAGCAAAGACTTGACTGTAATTTCCCACTCATAGTCTCTTTGTTCCCCTTACTTCTTGAGGAACAGAGGAAAGACATTAGATTGTTCTGAGTTTCTGGAAACTATAAAATTTAATAACAGAATCACAGAACTTTTTAACTGGGAGAGACCATCTCTCCTCTTTCATTTCCTGAAATTTTTATTTGCCTGAAACACTAGTGGCTTATGAATAACAGTTCCTTGGTAAATATTTAATGAAGAAAAAACAGTGATCATTACATGTCAGCTCTGTGGCCAAAGTGCATAGCTGCTTTTTTACAGTTGGGAATTGTTGATCAGTCACTTCTCTTTTGATTTTATTTATCAGTTACTTCTTTTTTCTGAGGTATAGTTGACATTGGTATACACTTGTTTTCTGCGCCCAATGTTTATAGGCTTTCTGCTGGTTTTAACCTAGTTAATATTTGTAGTCTTGTGGCACCATCTACTTTACTTGTAAGAGGCTGGAGTTAGTACAGCATTTCATAGCCGTCCTCCCTCAAATATATGTTCTAAGTTACATTTGAATTGAACATTTTTAACTCATGTTATAGTGATGTAATGCTGATGCTTTGTATTCTTAACAACTTTACCTAACAGGTCTCTGTAATCCCTCTGGCTTTAGAATAGATCAATTGCTATAGCTGGAGAAGGTGCCAGAAGAAGATATTTTACTTTTGAATGTTTCTAATTCTACTTAGAGTAATGTGATGGTTCCAGAACTTTCTAAATTTTTTCTCACTAATTAACTCCTTTGGGAAAAATCTCTGGTGAATTAAACTGTAAATTAAACTGTAGCTTGTTCTTATTTATTAAATGGGCAACTCCTTTACCCCTTCAAATTTCTGACTACATATCCCCTCAAAACTCCTTATACCAGCTCCTTGTATAGAATTCTTTCCATAAATATCCTGACAAAGAATAATCAGTTTTAGGTTTAACTGTTAAGTCTTGTTACTTTTTTGTCTCGTAAGAAAGAACTTGTTTAAGAAAAATTTAAAGTTTTGGTCACTTGTTGATTTCACAGATAAAAATCTTCTATGGGCTAACAAGCGTGTATTTAAAACAGGTCCCAGACTTTTAATGATTCTTTAGAGACTGTGTTAGAATTTACACTGATATTCAGAATTGGGAGAATTGGCCTATTTTTAGGACATAAAACATAAAAACATAAATGGAACGTAAAACATCCTGTTTTTAGGGCCAGCCCCGTGGCTTAGCGGTTAAGTGCGCGTGCTCAACTACTGGCGGCCCGGGTTCAGATCCCGGGCGCGCACTGACGCACCGCTTCTCCGGCCATGCTGAGGCCATGTCCCACACACAGCAGCTAGAAGGATGTGCAGCCATGATGTACAACTATCTACTGGGGCTTTGGAGGGGAAAAAAAACGGAGGAGGATTGGCGATAGATGTTAGCTCAGAGCCAGTCTTCCTCAGAAAAAAGAGGAGGATTAGCATGGATGTTAGCTCAGGGCTGATCTTCCTCACCACAAAAAAAAAAAAAAAAGAACATCCTATTTTTAGTGGCATAAAACAGAGTTGTGTTCTACCTGAACTAGTTGAGGTAGCTTTTGGATTAACATGTGCTTTTCTGCCTTACCCAACAGGAGGACTCATATCGTCTTTTATGCTGACATAAATCACAGTTAAGTTGTTGCTTTGGGAAGTAACTGAACTTGTTGGGCAATTACTGGGAGGCAGAGCAGCTAAACTTAATCTTGCCAAAGGAAACAAAAGGGATAATTTGAGAATCCAGTTGGATAATGGCAAATCATTTTATTTAAAGGTTAACTCCTATGGTTATTTGAGGACTCATTTCTGGCAACCTTATCCTGCCTGGGAACCATATTAAGGTTATTGAATGAATTCCTTCTCTCAAATATTCTAGGGCAAAGTTTTTTCTTTAAGGAATTCTGGTTACAGTTTTGGAGTTTGAACACTTACATAGATCTACAGATGCTTTTTGAGAAAAATTTTGGTGTTGCCAGTAGTTGTTTGTTCTATACCCTTGAAGGATGAGTGGTTCTCTAATACAAAGAGAATTCAAGTCAATATCTAGTATCCTCTTTGCAATCTCTATTCCTGTTATGCATAGCAGTCTTTCTCAGATTATGGATCTTGACCAGTTAGTGCATTGTGAAAGCAATTTAGTGAGTCATGGCAATCATTTAAAAAATATATGGCGTAGAATAGAAAACCTCATAGCATACGGCATATAGTAAAGGTTAGTAATATTTCATGAAAATTGTGTGTATATGTGTGCTTGTGCTGGGTTTTAATGTCATATGTCTTACTAGGAGAGGGATCAAAAGAGTTTGAATCTGATTGACGCATACACATTTTCTTTCAGTTAATGATATATAGCCAGAACCTTCAATTACTGCTAATAGAGTAACAGTTTTGAATTGTGGGCTTAGCACATCCTGTAAGATATGCTGATAGTTCCTATTCAGAGAGCAAGTTTAAGGATATTTGATTTATTTCTTTATTCATTCATGCTTTCCTCAGTATTGTCTGCACTTTATCTCTCTGTAAAGTGAGATTACTTCTAAGTTAGGTAACTGGATTATTCAGTTCTGTGTTCTCTGAAGTGTACAGCCTTTGGCTGTTATTGAAGGTCATTATAAGAAGCAGCCCTTTGTGGGGTGCTTCTGCATTTTCTCTAAAATGGCTGTAGAGGGTATTGTCCTTTAACTTATTAGGGTCTCTTAATTAACTGATATGTTTTTTCTTATTTAATAGTTACCATTTAAAAAAAAAATCCTACTTTTCTTGTTTGCTGGGAAGCTCAGAGATAAATTTTGTGTTCAATTGCATAGCTTCTTCTTTCTTGGTCTTGTCATGTAATTATCTTTTTCCTTTTCTTCTCCTTACCCTTTTACTCAGAATATATCTATACATATATATGTATATGTGTGTATACACACACAGTTTAATGGACATATTTAGGGTATAGATAAACTAAAAACCACGTTGCCCACTGGGTCTGAAGTTATGACTCAGTCACCTTTGATCTTCATCATATAGCATAGAGGTCAGCAAACATTTTCTGTAAAGGGCCAGTTATTAAATATTTTAGGCTTTGCAAGCCATATATATTCTGTTGCAGCTATTCCACTCTTCTGATGGTAGTGTGAAATCAGCCATAAATGATAAATAAGCTAAGATACAAGGCTGTGTTCCAATAAAACTTTATTTACAAAAACAGATGGCACAGGCCTCATTTTGCCACCCCCTGATCTAATACAATGTCTGGTTCATAATAGGCATTTACATCTTTACTGCACTGCAGAAAATCTGAACTGTACCAAATCACAGTGTTTTCTTCAAACTTTGATAATCAGTTACAGAGTCATTGAAATGTCTAAGAAGCTACTTCAGATTTTCTGGTCTAGCAGTCTATCTTTTTTTGGAACCGGGACTCTTGAAAATCTGTTGAAAAAGTTATAGGCCCACATATGCATATTTAAAATTTGTATGTAATTTTAAGGTATTCACATACCTGCTGAAGTCCACATGTAGGCCCCAGCTCAGCCTCCGATCTAGCCCACATTTTGTGGATGAGAAAATGGGAACTTAGATTTTTTGGTATATATGAGGAGAGTCATTATTAAATTAGTAGTCATTTACTCAAAATTTTGTTTTCTGCAGAAAGTATTGAATATGAAGTGGAAGATATAGTTTTTGTGTGAGGCGTGCATGCTTAAATGCTTGTCATCTTAGCCTGTTAGGGCTTGGTTTTCTGAAAAATCTCTTGAAGGAAGTTTAATAATGTTTGGAGAGTATATCAGATAATTTAAGAATATTTATAGTATATCAACTGTTCAAGAACCTGAGCCCAAATCGCAATATATTGTTATAGAAGATAGCACAAACATTTCCTTTCTATTTGCCTGTGGGGAGCACAAGAATTTAAAACTATCCAATCACTTTTCCTTTCTGGAACCTTTCAGAGTAGAGAAGACCTTGTTGCAGATGAAAGAGAAATGCATAGCTTATTTCACATCTTTATTTTTGCTTTTACTGTTTTAACATCTTCTGTTAACATTTTCTGGAAAAAATTTTTAAAAAAATAATAGTGACAAATTGTATAAGTTAGGTTAATGTTAACTGGTGAACACATTAACCTCTAAATTTCAGTGGATTAACACAAGTGTTATGTTTTCTTTCTGTACAGTTCAAAGGCAGTTTTCTACGAAGAGCCCAGGCTTCTTTTATCTTGAGGCTCTGCTATGCCCTATGCCAGACTTTGACTTTGACTCCTTTTAGCCTTTTCAAGAGGAAGCCTAGAGAAAACCTATCTATTTCTTAATACCCCCAGGCTTGAGGTGGTACATATTCTTCTCAAATTTTATTGAGGAAAACTATTTGCATGAACGTTATGTATGGCTTAGAAGTCATATCTCAGTAACAAT